GGACGGCGGCGGGAGCTCAGAACAGGTGTCTAGCAGGCCCGGCGCCGAATGAATGAGCCTGGGAGGCGCCATGGAGGGGGTGGAAGGGGGTGGGGCCATGGCGCCGGCGAGGCGGGGCCTGCGCGCAGGCGGCGAATCACGCGCGGCCGCCCCCTGGAGGCCCCGCCCATGCCCCGGCCCCTCCCCCCTCCCCTGCCCAGAGGCCTCCACGGCCGTAGGCGCCGGCGGGGGCGGCGGGCTCCGGCGGCGGCGGCGGGGGCGTCTGTCGGGCTCCACTTCCAGAAGGTTCGGTGGCGGTTGGGTGGCTGGCGCGCGCCCGCCCGCCCTCCCTGCGCACCCGCACGTGCCCGGACGCCGGCGCGGAGCAGGCGAGCGGCCGGCACCCGGCAGGGAGCCGGGGAAGAGCCGGAGGAGAGCCGAGCGAGCCGCGGAGCGTCCCCGGAGCGCGTGCGTAGCCGAGCCGGCGGCGGCGGCCGGGTGTCTGCGGGGCGTTCCTGTGCGCCCGCGCGGCGATTCGCTGCCCAGCCGGGCCGGCCACCCGATGAGGTCACCCGGGGGGAGGGGAACGGTGCCCGCGAGCCGCCGCGCTCCGACCCCTGCGCCCGGACTAGGCCTCGGGATAGGCGTTGGCTGGGGTTGCCAACCCGGAACTCACACGGGACACTGACGGCTGCAGACGCCGAGGACCGTCGACCCCCCCCTCCCCGCCCCGCATCCCTATCGTCCGTGGACCCTCCACCCACACTGCCCAGCTTGGTCTCCAAAAAGACACCCCCGGGAACCCCACCCGCGAGCTGGGTGCACCTGCTGCCCCCAGAGCTGCCTGCGATGTCTACAAGTCGAGTTCCATCCACGTTGCAAGCCACAGAAGCCGAAGAAGGGGAAGTGTGGACACCCCTGCCTACCGTTGTTGCAGGGAGCTTTTGCTAATTTGTTAATTTTCTACCAGGAAAATTAACCCCGACCCATTAGCAGAACTTTTACACTAAAAGCCCCATAGCCCTGAAAGAGCTGTCACCCGCATTACCAGGTGCCAGCAGGAGACGGAACTCAGTGTTACACACCCCAGCCTTCCCGGCGATTTCACAATTATTGTTCAAAAAATTCGGTTCTTAGGGCTGGGAGTAGAGGGTTAGTGGTAGCGGCTCCCACACCCCCACGCTCTCCCAGCATTTCAATGTGAATTGAGCAAGCCCTCCAGGGTTTAGGTACTATTAAAATATCACTGGGCTGTGGTGGCACACGCCCTTAGTCCCAGCACTAGGGAGGCAGAGTCAGGAGGATCTCTGTGAGTTCAAGGTCAGCCTGGTCTACAGAGCAAGTTCCAGGACAGGCTCCAAATCCACAGAGAACCCTGTCTTCAAAACAAAACACCACTTCCTCTTACTGGGTCCCGATCTGAGAAGAAGCTGTAGCTAAGCAGAGGAAAAGTTCCTTACTTGCAAACTAGGTCTGACAACACCCCCCCCCATACCTGTGACCTTGTAAATACACAGCGTCTGGAAAGATAATACAATGAAATTTTCTAGGCTTGAGAGATGCTGCCTCAGAACTTAACTGCGGTTCTTGTAAAGGACCTCGATTCAGCTCCAGCGCCCACATTTGTAACACTAGATCCAGGGGACTCAATGCCTCCTTTTGAGCTTTTCTGGCTCACACACACACACACACACACACACACACACACACACACACACACACACACACACATTTTAGGAATAAAATGTGAATACATTAGGGCGTTGTTGCCCGCAGTTATACAGTAGTGCCATTTAAGGTTCTAAAGCAAAGTTCTAAGCTATGGGGGAAATGGAATAGGGATTGCCAATGGGGAAGAAAAGACTGGAAAGAGGTGTGAGGGAGGTCTCTGGGGTGACGATAATCGTCCATGACTTTCTAGAGTGTGTTGGTCAGGGTTCCATAGAGTAACAACTTACAGAGTGAATCTGTGTGCATATAGAAAGGGGATTTTCTAGGGTGTTATACAGGCTATTGTCCCAACTAACCCAACAATGGCTGCCCGTGAAATGAAGGTCCAAGAATCAGTGAGGATGTCAGGATATCACCGAATCCCACGGAAGTCGGCTCTAATGCAAATGAGGGAATGGACTTGAGGGCAAAGGGCAAAAGCTTCCCCTTCCCATGTCCCCATATAAACTTCCTGCAGAAGGCCCCGCCCGGGTCAGAGGTATATCAGGACTCAAAGATGCAGACTAGAAGTGCGTCTCCCCACTGCAAGTTAAGGAAAACCCCTCACAGGTGTGCCTTTGGGGTTTCAGTTAATTCCAGGTGTAGTCGACAACCAAGACAACACAGGGTTTCAGGTAAAGTTTTCAAAGCTCACGGAATATGGAGCCGAGGTATATACACCATTAGAGCTGTGTGTGAAGTTCTCCAAAGAAATTGTCACATGTGCCAACACATAAAAATACTGTGAGCAGGGGCGCTGGAGAGATAGTTCAGTAGGTAAGAGCATTGACTGCTCTTCCAGAGGACCCGGGTTCAACTCCCAGTACTCACATGGCTGCTCACACCTGTCTGTAACTCAGGTCCAGGGGATCTGACACCCTCAAACCAATGTACATAAAATAAAATAAAATTATTTAAAAAATACTGTTCCTGCCCCTTAAATTCACTTTGAATGCATTAAAGAAATAAGAAAGGATTCCGTTTTGGGTATGGACATGGCATGCTGGTTACATTTTGTCAACCTGACACCAACTAGAGTCATCCGGGAAGAGGGAAGCTCATTTGAGGAACCGTCTCCATCACGGTGGTCTGTGGGCATGTCTGTGGGCAAGGACAGCTGCAGGGGCTCCATCCTTGGGCTGAAACTCCCTCTGTCGCTTAGCTACCGTGTGGTGGGTGTGCTGGGGTCTTTGCAGCCTCTCACTTTCCTCTTAGAGATGGTTTTCTGTTTTCACACTACTAGACCCTTCCTGTGCCTCGGTGTCAGCGACACTTCATGGAGTGCTACTTCCAGACACCGCCCCCAGCCTCCGGCCCTCCCAGTCTCCACTAGCTTTTCTGTTTACCACAACACCTCAACCCCTTCCCGTTCCCCTGTGTGAGGATGTGTTGCTGTGATTGGTGTAACGAAAAGCCAAACGGCCAATAGCTGCGAGGAGAGCACAGGCAGGGACTCTGGGCAGAGAACTCTGGGAAGAAGACCGGCAGGGTCTCCAGCCAGACTCAGAGCATGCAGGATGAGTAATACACAGGTGAGGTCATATGCATCATGGAAGAATGCTGACTAAAAAAATGTGGGTTAGCTTAAGTTATAAGAACTAGTTAGAAGCCGGCCTTTAATCCCAGCACTCGGGAGGCAGAGGCAGGCGGATCTCTGTGAGTTCCAGACCAGCCTGGTCTACAGATACAGAGTGAGTTCCAGGACAGCCTCCAAGGGCACTGAGAAACCCTGCCTCAAAAAAAAAAAAAAAAAAAAAACTAGTTAGAAACAAACCTAAGCTAAGGCCCACCTTTTTTTTTTTTTTTTTTTTTTGGTTTTAAGACACAGGGTTTCTCTGTATTGTTTTAAGAGGCTGCCGGTCCAGCCTGGCCTCGAACTCACAGAGATCCACCTGCCTCTGTCTCCCGAGTGCTGGGATTAAAGGCGTGCGCCACCAACGCCCGGCTCCACATTTTTTTTAAGCATTGAAACAATGTCAATATGCAATCCAGGCCAGCATCAAACTCTCTATCCTCCTGTGTCAGCTTTCCAGAGCTAAGGCACAGACCCAAACACAGTGTTGGGGCTGAGACATAGCTCAGCCACAGCCAGCACTTAGTGCTCCTCTTCCAAAGTTCCCAGGCCCCTGCTGGGCGGCTCACTACCATGTGTAACTCCAGTTCCAGGGGATCCGGTGCCCCCTCCTGCATTCGCTTACTGGGCTTATGTGCCAGAAAGACACCCACACACTTCAAACAATAACTTGTAAAGGGATTTGTTCAGGTGGCTTCTCGTGATGGGGTTGCCTGGACGGCCCATCAATGGCTGTTTGCGTGTTAGAGAGACAGACAACCGGGTAGCTGCCCAGTCCATAACACTGGGTCCCCCAGCAGTGCCAACGCAAAGCTGCTAGTCTTCCGTCCACAATGGAAGACTGAGAAGGTGGACCCCGAGGTCACCGGAGGGTGGCAGCAACAGAAACAGATGCCCTCCTCCCTCAGGAAGAGGATAGTCAGGCAACATTGATTTCCTTTTCCTTGAACTTTCTGGGCTGCCCTGTTGGAGTGTCCACAAAGACACAACTCAGAGGTGTGAATCACTCTGAGGTCACTCCTGAATCCTATCAAGTTGACAATTTTTTTTTTTGTTTTTTCGAGACAGGGTTTCTCTGTATTGTTTCGGAGACTGTCCTGGAACTCACTCTGTAGACCAGGCTGGCCTCGAACTCACAGAGATCCGCCTGCCTCTGCCTCCCGAGTGCTGGGATTAAAGGCAGCCGCCAATGCCAAGCTTCATTTGGTTGTTTCTATGGCAGAAAAAATGTGAATTCAAACGTCCACAAGGACCAGATCTTTACCCTACAATGGTATTTATGACATGGTGAATTTGAGCCCTATCACTAAATGTATAAACCCATGCGCATGCGTGCACACACATACACACACACACACACACACACACACACACACTCCCTGCTTAATGTAGTTAAGTATGTGTCAACTTGAAGGCCGGGCGTTGGTGGCACACGCCTTTAATCCCAGCACTCGGGAGGCAGAGGCAGGCGGATCTCTGTGAGTTCGAGACCAGCTTGGGCTACAGAGCAAGTTCCAGGACAGCCTCCAAAACAATACAGAGAAACCATGTCTCAAAAAACAAAAAAACAAAAAAAAAAGAAAGAAAGAAAGAAAAGAAAAAGAAACAACCAAATGAGCATGTTTCCCTGTGAATGTTCAATGTGACCACGTGACCTGTCCATCTACGTGGCAGCTACGCTCCAGGGCCCAAGAAGGGGTTCCGGAGATGTGTACAGAGCCCTCCATCTCAGCTTGCTTCCGTCTTTGCATGGAGCGCAGGACCTTGAGAGCCCAGAGCAGCATCCAGCCAGCCTGTGTGTCTCATTAAGGACGCCTGGGGAGCTGAACTAGTGGAAGACCTTCTGGGGCCCAGACAGCACCAGGGTCAGGGTAACACGGTACAGGACTAAGAGCAAATGAGCCCCACACCACGGTGTGTAGCCATGGGCGAGCTCTCAGCCAGCTGCACCTCCGTTCCCTCAGTGTGTGGAGAACACGGGGGACCTGCCCACGGAGTTGCGCTAAGGAGCAACCAAATGGACATTTTTAGGCGCTTGCAAAGGGATGTGTGAGCCTGCTGGTAAACCTGGCTACACCAAAGTCTGGAGCCACAGGAATGTGTGGATAAAGGGAGTCAAGGAGCCTACACCAGAAGAAGACCCTCCCTGATGCCACCCGATTCCAGCTGAGATTGAGAGGGGGAGAGGGAGCTGTAGGTGCCCACGAGAGGGGCCCTGACCTCCCTACCCACACCTGTCTTCCCCAGGGTATGTGAGCTGTACTCTTCTTTTTTTTTTTTTGGTTTTTCGAGACAGGGTTTCTCTGTGGCTTTGGAGGCTGTCCTGGAAGAGCTGTACTCTCTTCTGAGAGAGGGTTTGTTTTCTCCTCTCTCACCTCAGAGCAGTCACGTGTTGGGATGAAGTTGAGAATGAGGAGGAAATGAAAACACACAGGAACAAACATTTATTGAAACGACGTTTCACACACCTGCTTGAAGCCCCTGGTCAAAGCGCTGGTGTTAGCATCTGAGGTAAGCGTTCCGGGCACAGGGGGAACCTGGAGAGCCCTCCGCCCCACTTGTGTTTCCTTAAAAGTTCAACTGTTTGTGCAAACACCATGAAGAGCTTCCCTCCCCTTCCCTCCCCTCCCCTTCCCTCCCCTCCCCTTCCCTTCCCTCCCCTTCCTTCCCTCCCTCCCCTTCCTTCCCTCCCCTTCCCTTCCCTCCCCTTCCTTCCCTCCCCTTCCCTTCCCTTCCCTCCCCTCCCCTTCCTTCCCTCCCCTTCCTTCCCTCCCCTTCCCTCCCCAGGCGTGCCTTGTTGGGATCTGTGTGGCTTCTCCGGACATGTCTATTGTTGTTCTCGGATCACTCACTTGCTGGAGAGCCCTCGGGGTGTCATGAGTTTGAGGCAACAAGTCGACCCACACTTCCACCTTCCTTGGCCCAAGGTCCTTAGCCTCGCTGTGGAGAGCTCCACAACTCACCCTCAGGGCAGAGGCCTGCCTGCTGAGCACAGCCACCTCGCTGGCTCACACGGTGAGTGGGAGACTTGGTGCAACGACCAGACAAGACTGAACTCTAAGAGTCCGAGTGACTCATAGGCCCCTGAACCCCAGAGATCCCGTTGTGCCCTTTCTAGCTGGAAGACATGACACTTGGAGATTGGGCCTCCTGTACACAGTACTCACTGGGCAAGATCCCGCCAGTGCGCTGCCTGCGGGGAAGCTGCGAGACCACTGAGGACTTCCCACACTCACTGATGCTGGGAGCCAGGAAGCCGGCTCCTAACTTAACCTCGAGTCAAGTCCTCTGCCCCGAGAACAAACCACTTGAGAAACTTAAGACTCATGAAGGGCTCTTCGAAATAGGACTTGTTGTCCAAGAGGGAAAGAGTTATTACACGAGGAAAAACAGCCAGGAGTTTGGAATGGGACTGTACTCATTTCCCAAAAGAAGTGTTTACACATCACTTCTTAGGCCTGGAGAGCACTGGCTGCCCTTCCAGAGGAGCTGAGTCCAGTTCCCGGAACCCACGTGGCAGCTCACGGCCATCTGTACCTCCAGATCTGACGCCACCTTCCGGCCTCCGTAGGTTTACATGCATGCCTTACAACTACATTTATGCAGACAAAACACCCAGATGCATAAAGTAAAATGAGATAGAGACCAAACTTTAAATCTGGAGTTATTGCCACGTGTGGTGCCTGAAAATTGACCAAGTCAGTTTCAAGGTCCCTTTCTCTTGCTGTCCTTGGTTTAGACGCTGAAAGAAACAGGCCTCTGGGTTTGTGGCCTTGTGGCGCCACCTAGAGGCAGAGCAAATTTCTACACCATCTGGCAGCTCTCTGAGGTCCAGGGGCCACCTGCAAGCCATGTAGCAAGCAGAAGAAACATTTCCTAGTTCAAGAGACTTCTGTAGACTGGGAAGGTGGCTCCCTGCAGCTTTCTGTAGGGCTGGGGAGATGGCTCTGCGCAGCTGTTGCTCCTGCAGAGGACCCAGGTTCTATTCTCAGCACCCCATCTCTAACTGCAGTTCCAGGGGTCTGATGCTCTCCTCTGGCCCCTGAGACACTGTGTGCAAGTGGAATGCATCCTTATGTGCAGGCAAGACACGCCTGTACGTTCTAAAAGAAGTGAACAGGGACCCACAAAAAGAGACAGAGGAAGGGAGGGGGAACCATGGAAAAACGAGAACAGAGAGGCCCAGCCTAGGAGTCTGTTCTGGCGGCGGTGGCCCACGCCTTTAATCCCAGCACTCGGGAGGCAGAGGCAGGCGGATCTCTGTGAGTTCGAGGCCAGCCTGGTCTACAAGAGCAAATTCCAGAACAGGCTCTAATATTCACAGAGAAACCCTGTCTCGAAAAACCAAAACAAAACAAAAAAAGCCTTATTGGAAAATAAAACTTTAACCCCCAGAAACAGCTGAATGACAAGGGTTAGCTCTTGAATCCCAGACTGATAGCTAGGATTCCAGTATGGGACTAATCAAGACCCCCTGAACGTGGGTGTCAGTGAGGAGGCCTAGGAAATCTATTGAGCCTTGGGTAGTAGATCAGTATTTATCCCAGGTATACAAATGGACTTTGGGCACCCATCCAACAATGAGATGCACTTTCACCCTGGACTTTTGGGAGAGGGTCTAGGCCCTGCCCTGGATGAAATAACAGACTATGGACACCCCCATGGAGGGCCTCACCCTTCCTGGGGAAATGAGGGGATATTGGAGGGGTTGGTGGGAGGGCGTGGGAGAAGGGGAGGGAAAGGTAAAGGGACCTGGAATTGACATGTGAAACAACCTTGTTTCTAATTTAAATTTAAATTTTAAAAAATTTAAGGAAGAGAAAAGCCAGGCATAGGAGTGTACACCTTTAGTCCCAGCACTGGGGAGGCAGAGGCAGATGGATTTCTGTGAAATCCAGGGAAGTCAGGGCTACATAATGAGACTCTGTCTCAAAATTAACTAATTAATTAATTAATTAATTAATTAATTAATTAATTAATTGAGGCTGGAGAGATGGCTCAGCAGTAAGAAGCACACAGTCCTTGCAGTTCCCAGAACTCACATTGTACGGCTCACAACTGCCTCTCACTCCAGCTTCAGGGGACCTGATTTTCCCTGCGGCATCTATAGTCACACGCGCACACACCCGCACCCAGACAGATCCACGCAAAGCATTAAAAACAAAATAAGCCGGGGGCTGGAGAGATGGCTCAGTGGTTAAGAGCACTGACTATACATCCAGAGGTCTTGAGTTCAATTCCCAGCAACCACATGGTGGTTCTCAACCACCTGGAATGAGATCTGGTGCCCTCTGATGGCATGCAAGCACAAAAGTGTATACAAAATAAATAAAGGAATAATATATTAAAAAAAAAACAAAATAAGCCAAAATGAGGCCAGCCTGCTCTACAGAGCGAGTTCCAGGACAGCCAGGACTGCTACACAGAGAAACCCCGTCTGGGAAAAAATAAATAAATAAACAAATGAATAAATAAAATAATCCTGGGGCTTTGGGGGTGGAATTTGTTTTTGAGACAGGTTCTCTCTGTATAACTGTGGCTGTCCTGAAACTCACAGTATAGACCAGGCTGGCCTTGAACTCACAGATATCTGTCCACCTGCCTCCTGCCTCCCAAGTGCTGGGATTAAAGGCATGTGCCACCCTACAACCTGCTAAAATAAATCTGTTTTTAAAAAAATGCTTGTGCCGCATAACTTTGTCCAGTTTGGGGCTAGCGTTGGTGTTTTTTCTTTATTTTTAACACATTTAACATGGGCTGGGCTAAGTTCAAATTTAATACATGTCTGACTTGCTGTTGTCTCAAACTATTATGGGTCTACCAGGTTGTAACCCTCCCCCGCCTCCCACTGCCACCAGGGTGAGTGACGTCTGAAGGGTCCCAGGCAGGGGTCAGATGCCTGCAGCTGGAAGATGGGGCGGGGCGCGACTAGAGTTGTGACTGAGCAGGCATCCGCTTCAGCCCTGATACCTTGGTACCTCTCCCTGCTGTAGGAGACTGGCTGGGATGCTCGCCCGGCTGGGGCTGAGCAGTCAGACTCCCCGGGTGTGAGGGTGGGGGTCAGCCAGCGAGGGAAGCTAAGATTTGTGCTGGAGCCTGGATGCGGTCATCCTGGGGTTCAGCAGAGGTGACATCGCTGCCACCAGGTACTGTTGACCAAACACAGATCTAAACCAGGAAATTCACCCCTGCATCTGAGTTCCCCACTGTCCTCCCTGCACACTGTCGTAATCCCTCTGCTCGCTCCTCTCGGGTCCCTCGGGGCTAAGATTGCATTGTTGTAAGCGCTAAGATGTTCATTCAGGTCCCCAGGGCCTGTGTACACGGGGCTAACTTAACTTATGGATACCTTGGAGTTTTGCTCACCTTAGCTTCTAGACTTCTCTTTTTTTTTAAAGCTGTTCCCGTGTAGCCCAGGCTGGATGACAATGGCCTTTTGACCCTCCTGCCTCCACTTCTGAAGACGGGGATTTGCATACCACCGCTGCCAGTTCATTTCTTGCTGGAGATCAAACCATGGCTTGTGCTTCTGGGCAAGTACTCCCAGCCGAGCTCCAACCCCAGGCCACCCGGATTTAATTTATAACTGACTGCGGCTGTACTGTGACGGAGAAGCCAACTAGCCAGGCTGCTTACCTCTTTTTTTTTTTTTGGTTTTTCGAGACAGGGTTTCTCTGTGGCTTTGGAGGCTGTCCTGGAACTCGCTCTGTAGACCAGGCTGGCCTCGAACTCACAGAGATCCGCCTGCCTCTGCCTCCCGAGTGCTGGGCGTGCGCCACCAACGCCCAGCGGCTGCTTACCTCTTAATGGTCCTTAAGAGGCTTCCTGTTGACTCTGGTGGGTTTCCTCCCTCCCTCCCTCCCTCCCTCCCTCCCTCCCTCCCTCCCTCCCCTCTCCCTTCCTCCTTCCCCCTCCCTCTCTTCCCTCCTCCCTCCCTAAATCAGGATCTTACTAGGCAACCCTGGCTGACCTGGCACTCAATATGTAGATCCAAGCCAATCCTAAACTCAGAGAGACCCCCCCTCTGCACCCCAAGTGCTGGGATCAAGGGCGCGCACCACCACACCCTGCCCTTCTGTTGGCTTTTCAGGTGGGTAGCTAGCTACAGACAGCTCCTGTCACTTCTGCATGCTCTCCGTAATCTCTGTTTCCTTGTTAACAGAGTGGAGTAAGCCGTACCTGCTCGCCACCAGCCTTTCCACCCCTGAGCAGACGGAGTGCCTGTGTCTCCGTGACAGTCTGTTCCCCCCGGAGAGCTCAGATGTGTAACTTTCCAAAGGACTGCAAAACGCCTTTCACCCCGATGTGCTGGATTATCGATCACCACCTGGTGGTTTTCCAACCTTTGGCTTTTATGACAAAGCTGTCATAACCACTCCCGACCAGGCTTGTGTAAACACATTTCCTTTCTCATGAGTGTATACCCTGGAGCAGAATTGTTAGGTCACAGCTGGTCTGGTGATGGATGCCTGTAATCCTCGAACTTGGGATGCTGAGGCAGGAATATTTTACTTTTTTTTTTTTTTTGTTTTTCCAGACAGGGTTTCTCTGTGGCTTTGGAGTCTGTCCTAGAACTCACTTTGTAGACCAGGCTGGCGTCGAACTCACAGAGATCCGCCTGCCTCTGCCTCCCGAGTGCTGGAATTAAAGGCGTGCGCCACCACCGCCCAGCTTAGCTTCAGATTTTTTAAAGATCGGTTTTCCTTTATGTGTATGAGTGATTTGCCTGTGTGCATGTACATGAAAAAATGTATGTGTGCCAGAGGTCAAAAGAGGACACTGGAACCCCCGGAACCCGGGTTACAGATGGTTGTGAGCCACGTGGTTTTCTCTCGACCATCTGGGAGCTGAGAACTGAACTTGGGCCTCTCTGGAAGAGCAGCCAGCGCTCTTAACCAGGTGGCCCGAGCCATCTCTCTGGCTTCCAGATCTACTCCTTTTGCCGACTTAACCTGCTTACATACAAGTCTGAGAGGGAACTGAACCCAGCCCTGAGACTTGCATCCCCTCAAGTACCTCACCCCTGCTTAGCCTCGGGTCTCAAAAGTCTCTATCCCTCAGCATCTCCCTCTACTGTTGATTTTTAATTGAATTCCGTTGTGGCTGAAGGACATTATAATTTCATTTCCTTTAGAGTAACAGAGCCTTGTCTTACATCCCAGCAGATGGTCTCCTTGACAACCGTTCTACGACCTCTTGAGATGGTGTTTATTTTGCTGATGGCTGCAAGGACCAATTAAGTGTGTTAATAACCTCCCAGTCTTCTTCATCCTTACTGATTTTCTGTGTGTGTTTATCAATCACTTAGAGAGGGAGGTTTACATCTTCGACTATGATCATGCCTTTGACTGTTTTGTTTTTCAGTGAAATGTTTTCTATACTGGGGTTGAACTTAGGACTCACACATGCTACGCACATGCTCTACTACACACCTCAGCCCCCAGGTGTGTTTTTGCACCTTGGATTTTGAAGCCCGGGAACTGAGTACTTACTAAGTACCTACACATTTATAATTTTTGTCTTCTTAGCAATGTTTTGGGGTTTTTTGTTTTATGTTTGGGTTTTGTTTTTTGGAGACAGGGTTTCTCTGTGTATCCCTGGTTGTCCTGGAACTCATTCTGTAGACCAGGCTGGCTTCAAACCCGCAGAGATCTGCCTGCCTCTGTCTCCTGAGTGCTGGGATGAAAGGCGTGCACCACCACTGCCCAGCTCTTAGAAATGTTTTTATCTCTCCTAGTGTCCTAATCACCACTAAGAATCTATAACATTCTATAATGTGATTTGTTTGTTTCATTGGCTGGTTTTTGTTTAATCTAATAAATGAATTCCCATCTAAGGGATGGGGACACGGCTCAGCAGTTAATGGCCCTTTTGGGGGACTTGTATTAGATCCCAGTCCACATGGGACAGTTCACAACTACCTGGAACTTCAGTTCCAGGGGACACCCTCTTCTGACTCTTTGGGGGCATCTGAACTCATACACACATTCACACACACACACACACACACACACACACACACTTAAAAATTAAAATCATGGGACTGGAGAGATATCTCAGAGGTTAAGAGCACTGGCTGCTCTTCTAGAGGTCCTGAGTTGAATTTCCAGCAACCACATGGTGGCTCATAACCGTCTGTAATGAGATCTGATGTCTGGTGCCCTCTTCTGGAATAAAGGCACACATGCAGACAGACCACTAATGCATAAATCTTAAATTAAATAAAATCACTTCTGGGTGGTGTAGCACAGGCCTTTAATCCAGCACTCAAGAGGCAGAGGCAAGGGGAATCTCTGTG